TGAGACACAACAAGAATGCAAAAAGTAAAATAAAGTAAAGACAAATGAAAGCTCTTGGATTTATGAAAGAATTAAATGATTAAAAGTTAAGCAAACAATTTAAGTTTGATGGATGGAAATGGTAAGCCTGGGAATTTTAAGGAAACATAAATTTCAAATTAGATAATCAGGCAGGCAGATAGTTAAGTTTATTTCTCGAACTTAAATGACTAAACTAAATAAAGCTCCTCCAAGAGTATTGAATCGTTATGTTACAGATGTATGGATATATAATGTTTGATGGGCAGCTAAGAATGCCTCTGATAGCTTTTAAATAGTTTATAGTATCGTCTGCATGTTATATATGTTTCTCTCATGGAGTAAATCAGTAACGGCAAACAACTTTCAATAAATAAACATACTTTAATTAAATTCTTGGATCAGAAATATTAATAGGAAAATATGTTTCACAAAATAACCAAATTAAAACTTTAGATCTAGATTTACAAGCTAAACATCTTTCTATTTAATTTTAAATTCAATTTATATTAATTATCGTGAAACTATAAAAGCAACTCCTAGGAGGATTTTGGAGTTAATAAATATTGGAGAACTCACAAGTATCTTTAACAAAAACAAATTAATTTTCTATAAGTACTCCATTTAAGATAAATTTTTTGAAAAAAATTGGGTATGTGTTTGGACCATATATGCTGAAATTTTCTTAAAAAGAGAACTACGCATAAATATTATATGAAAAATAAAAATACACACACATGTCTTATGGTAGAAGAGTGACGAGCAAGTCGACTGGATAGAGTAGCAAAGCAAATGATTTTGTGGCAAACTCAACAACAATTTTTTTAATATGAATATCTTAGAAGAATTTGTCAACTTTGTGCCAAAATGTGTGTATATCATTTAGTTAATATAAGATTCATAAAACTCGATATATTTTCTAATATAAGTTTTTTAAATAAGAAGACTTTTTGTTAAATTTTTATAAAGTTTTTATTAGTATTACAGATTTCTCAAATTTAATTAAATATGCTATAAAGATAGTTTGATGTCAAATGCTTTATTAAAATTTGTATATGCTTAGTAAATGATAAATTTGAGAAATATAGAATACTTACTCTTGAAGATGCATAGATTTGTAGTATATTTCATTAGCCATAGTACTTGACTCCCCAATTCCATTATTCTTTTCTGCATTTTCTGTTTTTCCCTACAATAATTGTTTTTTAGATTGAAACTTTTTTTTTGGATCAATTCTTGTAGGCAAGACCAGTAAATAATGGAAAATGGAGAATCAAGTAATAAAGCTAACAAAGTATCTTGGAAGTTTCTGATAATCATATACCCAAAATTTGTTATTGGAAGAGAATGAGACATTGAAATTGAAAAGAAAGGTTGTTTGATTTTATAAATGCATGATGATAATACTTACAGAACTACTATATATATATATATATATATATATCCATTGGAAGACAGAGAAATCTCACATGCAGAAATAAGTAAAATCCACATATGCTTTTTATTTTGTTTTCCCTTTATTTTTTGTATTCTTTTCCAATTGTATTTGTTCTGTACCAGAACTCTATCCATATTTGTATGATATTTGTCCATTTAAAATATATTTATTTTATATTTATTTTTTTTAATATAAAATAAAATTCTTTTTTTTTTAATTTATACTACATCAGTCTTGGTCAATGTAAATTTTGTTTTCCAAATAATTATTTTTTAAAATGAAAATAGAGAGTATATGGTAAGAAAGACTACAATAGCTTCCTTTTAATTGTATAGATTTCTTTCAGTTTGGATACAAAAATATAAAGTTTGTATCTTCTTAAATGGTATAGATATCTTGCATTTTTAAAAAATTAATACACAAAGGATTGCAATTCAAAAAAGATAATTCTAACACTCTTCTGCATATTCTGTATAATATAATTATAAATTAATTTCAAATATTTGAAACTTTTGAACTGGTTGATTAAGATCAAAAAAATTATTATAAAAAATATATATATGAGTGTTTGGTTACAAAGATTAAAAGTGCTTCCTTTTAGTAGTATAGAAGTGAGACACAACAAGAATGCAAAAAGTAAAATAAAGTAAAGACAAATGAAAGCTCTTGGATTTATGAAATAATTAAATGATTAAAAGTTAAGAAAACAATGTAAGTTTGATGGATGGAAATGATAAGCCTTAGGGGAAGTTTAAGGAAACATCAATTTCAAATTAGATAATCAGGCAGGCAGATAGTTAAGTTTATTTCTCGAACTTAAATGACTAAACTAAATAAAGCTCCTCCAAGAGTATTGAATAGTTATGTTACAGATGTATGGATATCTAATGTTTGATGGGCAGCTAAGAATGCCTCTGATAGCTTTTAAATAGTTTATAGTATCGTCTGCATGTTATATATGTTTCTCTCATAGAGTAAATCAGTAACGGCAAACAACTTTCAATAAATAAACATACTTTAATTCAATTCTTGGATCAGAAATATTAATAGGATAATATTTTTCACAAAATAACCAAATTAAAAATTTAGATCTAGATTTACTAGCTAAACATTCTTCTATTTGAATTTAAATTCAATTTGTATTAATTATCGTAAAACTATAGAAGCAACTCCTAGAAGGATTTTGGAGTTAATGAATATTGGAGAACTCACAAGAGTCTTTAACAAAAACAAATTAATTTTCTATAAGTACTCCATTTAAGATAACTTTTTTGAAAAAAATTGGGTATGTGTGTTGGACCATATATGCTGAAATTTTCTTAAAAAGAGAACTACGCATAAATATTATATGAAAAATAAAAATACACACACACGTCTTATGGTAGAAGAGTGACAAGCAAGTCGAATGGATAGAGTGGCAAAGCAAATGATTTTGTGGCAAACTCAACAACAATTTTTCAATATGAATATCTTAGAAGAATTTGTCAACTTTGTGCCAAAATGTGTGTATATCATTAAGTTAATATTTTTATTCATAAAACTTGATATATTTTATAATATAAGTTTTTAAATAAGAAGACTTTTTGATCAATTATATAAAGTTTTTACTAGTCCAACAGATTTCTAAAATTTAATTAATATGCTATAAAGATAGTTTCATGTCAAAAACTTTATTAAAATTTGTATATACTTGGCAAATGATAATTATGTATAACGCTTGCAATGTAAGAATTATAAAAATATAGAATACTTACTCTTGAAGATGCATAGATTTGGAGCGATAAACTGAAACACTCCTCTAAGAGATTATTTATTCTCTCGTCTCATCCTTTATTCTAGTATCTCCCTTGCGGGTCCTTCACCTTTTAATGAGCTTGGAAATATCCAATTTGTCCTTGTAATTTTGGAAGAAGTAAATTATAAGAGAAAATTGAAAAATCGGCCAATCATAAATAAGCAGAGATAAATCAATCAAGAGCGGCGAAACAAAAATTCATCCAATGAGATATAAGCATGAGTAGCCCATCAGAAGCGAGCTTCTCAAATTTTAACCAATCAGGAGCGTGTCGACATTTTTTAGGCGCAAAAAATTTAGCCATTAAGAACAGGCTTTGTCTTCTTGTCGGGGACCGGGTTAAAAGAGAAACCATTTTTTACCAGCTCGCTCGCTTCACCCCAGCGATCGCTAGAGAACGAATTCTCAGAACTCGAATCCTTCTTGACATTTTGCTGCGCTCATCCCTCATTGAAGCTTAATCGAGGTAATTGACATTTCATTGGATATTCTTCTTCATTTCGTTATTGGAAAGTCGTTGCCCTAGAACCACGATTGGGATTAAATTCGATTATTGAATAGGCAATGGTATACTATGGAAATGGTAATTGGTTGCTAATCGACTGGGTATTTATTGGATTGGAGTTTTAGATGTTGTAAATCGAGTTAGATTAGAGTTTCTCCACGAGTTGACAATTAGATCTAATTAAATGAGATAGATAGAGTAACAATTGGTATTACCTGTGTATTTCTGGAAACAACTGAAAACATTTTTTATGCGGTTGAGTATGGTCTATGTGTTATTTTTTCAGGTGATAATGATAACAAACCTATTTTTTTATTACAGGGGATATTATTCAACTTCGGAGGATAAATGGATTTCAGCCCCAGCGTCCATGTATGGTATAATGTTTAAGTTATCAAGTTTGGAGGAGATTACTTATTCTGATTTAGTGGAAAAGATATGCACGAATGTTGGGATTGTTGAATCTTCGAGTAAGTTGATACTGAGTTACATTCTGGTACTAGTGCAAACTCAGAAACAATTTTATATTTCGAATGATGATGACCTAGCCGTGTTCCTGACCTCACTGGATAAAGAGGGACGCTGAAGTATTATTAATGTAGAGGTCATCAAAGGTGTTGAAGTTGGAGAGGAATTTTCCAGAGTTGAGAGGGTAATTCAGTTGGTATAAATTATGGGGGGTTGCGTTTAGGTAATGGTGGATCAAATAATGGTGTACTTGCTATTTACACAGGCAACTGTTCAGCAGGACAACAACATCACGAGAATGTCCCATTGATAGAGGAAGCTGACGGTGATGAGGGAAAAGATGGTGATGATGTTACACGTGATGGAGAAGATGGTGATGACGTTACACGTGACAATGGAAAAGATGGTGATGATGTTTCCCGTGAAAATGCTGATGGAGTGGATGATGATGCTAAAGCCAAGTTTGATAACGAGGAGGAGGAATACAGAGGGTTTGATTTTGATTATGGTCCCCCTCCTGGAGTTGTAGATTTGATAGATTTAGTGTATAGGAATGGGAAGATGGTATGAATCTGAGAGTGGGGCAACAATTTGCATAACAAGATTTGATAGATTTAGTGTATAGAGCTTCACATCAATATTTTTTTGGTCTGACTATAAAGAATTCAGATAAGAGGCGATATGTCTTGAAATGCGGTGAAACAGGTTGTAATTGGTATTTACGAGCTTGGAAGGATGCGAATACACCCTGTTTTTCTATAACAGTATACCGGAAGATGCATACTTGTTCTCGGGCCAGTGCGATTACAAACAGCAAACAAAGGAAAGGAACACCAGGATTAGTTGCATCTGTTGTTAATGAGTTGTATCCAGGTCGATTAGATACACCAACTCCTCACGCTATCATGCTTTTGGTTAACCAAAACGCTTCTGTGAGTGTGTCATACTCCACCGCATGGAGAGGAGTACAACAAGCTAAATCTCTGGTTCGTGGTTATTCTGCAGACAGCTATAGAGATCTGTACTCATATTTGTACATGCTACAGAAGGTGAATCCAGGTACAAAACACAAGGTGTTACTGGACGAACAAGGAAGATTCAAGTACTTATTTGTCGCTTTGGGAGCTTGCCTTGAGGGGTTTGTAGCTATGAGAAAAGTGGTAGTTGTTGATGCAACTTTTTTGAAAGCCGGAATGGGCTGTCAGCTAGTCTTAGATGCTTGTCAGGATGGTAATCGTCACCATTATCCGATTGCTTTTGGAGTTATTGATTCAGAAAAATGACAGTTGGGAGTGGTTTTTCAGGCAGTTAAAAACTGTTATACCCGATAGTCCTGAGTTGGTTATTGTTTCAGACAGAAATTTAGGCCTCATTAACGCAGTAGCTGAGGTGTACACGGAAGCTAAACATGGGTTATTGCACCTGGCATCTTTCACAGAATGTGAAAATATAAGTTTCAAGGGATAGAGAAATAGTTGCAGATACATTCATGGAGTGTGCAAGAAAGTATACAGAGGCCGAGTTTCTTGATCATTATTCGAGGATGGCATTAAAGTACCCTGCTGTGACCGATTATCTAGAAAGGCGTGTAGAAGTATCGAAATGGGCCAAGTGCTATTTTCCAGCAGAGAGGTACAATCTAGATACTAGTAACGTTTTGGAGTCCTTGAATAGTGAGTTTAAAGATGCAAGGAAGCTGCCATTATTACCTATGATAGATGCGATTGTTGACAAGTTGTGTGAATGGTTTAACAAGCATAGGAACGAGGCTGCTTGATCGCCACCAGGACACAAACTGGTTGCCATTGTGGAAAATATTTTTCACAGTAGATGTGCTGATTCTAAGAAGCTAGGTGTCACCAAGTTAAACATCATTCAAATTGAATACAATGTGCTTGGATTCGATGGGATTAATTACACGGTGAGCTTGAAAAAAAAAACTTGCTCGTGCAAGCTTTTTGATATAGACAAGTATCCATGTGTCCATGCCTTAGCCACATTAGAAGCTTACATGAGCGGCCAGACAGAGAAGTGGATATAAACTTGGAGGACTTGTGTTCGATGTATTATTTAACCGAGCAGTGGGCTTTTGCTTATAACAGAACCATCTATCCTGTTCCACAGAAGTCACAGTGGGTTGTCCCCGATGATGTTAAGCAATTGAACGCTTTGCTCCCGGTTTACGAGCCAAAAAGGGGGGGGCAAAACAGCAGAAAAGGCATCCATCCGTTGGAGAGCGTCGACCGAAGTCGAAGAGGACGAAGACGAATAATAAGCGTCGGCTAGAATCTTACAAAATTTATAGCTATTTTTTACTGGAGGTGAAAACGCTGGAAGTGAAAATGCTGGAGGTGAAAATGGTGGAAGTGAAAATGCTGGAGGTGAAAATGGTGGAAGTGAAAATGCTGGAGGTGAAAATGCTGGAAGTGAAAATGCTGGAGGTGAAAATGCTGGAGGAGGTGTCTCAGGTAATAATGTGGTTTAGTTTAGAAAATGGAGAGATATGTTGTGATTGTATTACTCGGAAATACTTAGTACAACCATTTTTGGATTTAGGGTTTATGTTGTGGTTGTATTACTCGGAAATACTTGATTCGGTCAATATCTTCAAACAACGTCTCGTTTGAGTTAATGCGGTCAATATCTTCAAACGACGTCTCGTTTCCCCCAAACGTGATAAAGCGGATTGTTATTTAACGTAGACCTAAAGAGTTTCTGAAACACAATCTGATTCATCTACTATGGCTAGGCAAAACGGGTTTTCTGATTTGCCCATAGAGATGAAAAACAAAATACTAAAAAAAGTAGTCAGTTCTAGCACTCGCGAATACTGTAAGGTTTTAGTGGCAAGTAGGGATTTTTACCAGATCTCCAAGGATCCAATCTTCCTTCGGACCGTGGATTTGCTAAGCGTGCCCACACCTTGGTTCTTTGATATGGCATGGATGAGAATGTTCAAACACAGATGTTTGACAGAAGGTAATCCTACGGCTCTATTTGAAAGAGGTCTTTCAATTTTTTTCTATGACCATGATATAGAGGCAGTGATGGCAATGCTTAAGGCGTCATCGGAAGCGGGATTCGCGTTGGCAAAATATTGCCACCAAATGCTTGTCCTCATCATGTCCGGATGCGACGTGAGCTTAACATCTGTCCCAGATTTTACACAGGCGGAATCAGAAGAAATGCGATTACGAATTGAAAGAGCAAGCCCTAGAGGACCCCCGTATGTCACTCCAGCACAGTTTAGAGAGAGAATTACATTGGTGGTGGACAAAATTAATAACTTTCATTGTGGAATTGGAGACAATCACCCATTAATAATTATGATGGGATATGCAGACGTGCCCCCCGATTGGTGCGATTCTTGCCACTGGACAATGGAGGCGGCAAAATTCCAGTTGGATATTAGAAATTGCTTCGTGAAAGAGTGGCCAACTTGATCCATCCGAGTGAAAATTTGTTTTTGTTTTATTTAAGTATTACTCGTATAACTTTGTAAAACAACGTATTGTTTTCTCTCTTTAGTCTTTTGTTCAAAGTTCAAAGTTCTCTTTCTCGTTCAAAGTTCAAAGTTTTCTTTCTCGTGTATGTAAAGAGTAAAAGTACCTCGTATCAAGAGGATATAATATGAGTTATTCTCAAAAAGGCAGAGAATGTTCCTCGAGAAAGGGAAAAATTAAAAACAAAGTAAAAGGGAGATAAAGAAGAAAAAACTAAGGACAGATAGTGGGCCCTTCTCGGAGCGACGTCATTTAGTAAGATGTAAACCACCCATTAAACCACCCGTAAACCAAAGGAAACCGATTTGATAATGTGACTAACGAAATTCGACCACAAAATGAGTCAGTCTACGCAAATTTGTTCATGAGTCAGTCTACGCAAATTTGTTCGTGGTCAAGCTACTATGTTAAAGGAACTACGGAGCAGTGTTTTAAAAATTTTAAATGATAAAGACATTACACGAGAACATTTGTTTATAGCTTTTATAATCTATGATGAAGCGTATAAGCAAAAGTTTTTCATTTTAATATAAGTATTACTTATAATACTGTAAAACAATAAGATGGGTAACTACGTGGATGATGAGTATAACTATAATTATTAGTACAACAACGTTCAACAAACCTAGTTAATATAAACACTCCAGTTTTGGTCAGGAAAACTTGGTATAACTACGCTCTAGTTATAATGTTTAGTACGGCCATTTATTGTTCTGTCGACCACAAATAATTGTGAACTGGGGAGGAGAAGCAAAAGCGAAAAAGTTGTGAAAAAGAAAAGTGAAAGTAGTACTTTTAGGTCAGAGAATGTCGTGTAAAAGTTAAAAACACGATGTATATAGATAACCAAACCATCAACTTGGGAGAACTTTAATGGCTATAACCATAATTTGGACTGATACATGATCCTTACTTTAAACTCCGTTACATCCATACTGTTTTTTGTAACCGGTTCCATGTAAGACTGTTAAATTTTGACAAAACTTTGATGTGATCTTTTTACAGTTTTTTATGGCTATATCCACATATATCAATGTCACCATGTGCATGTACATGTACACTTCTATGCCAATTCATTACCTTTCAGGAAATACACCAACGACATGTGATGTGACTCATGCTCTAATTTTATGGTAATGACCACGTGCTTCATACTGCACTCTTACGTAAATAGGTATACTGTCTAGTTGGGAAGACCATCATGTGATCTTTTTACTTCCCCAAATTGCTATATCCATATATGATCATTAATTCCACAAATATATTCAATATAATTGACTTATCCACAATCTTAAAAATCAAATTTCCACAAATATTGCCGCACAAATATATGGTCATAATTGCGTTATTCGTTCTCCTCTTTTATTATGTTATACGTTCCAACGATTATTAGCAACAGGTACACAAATTAGTGACCACATATCAAATCGTCTTAAAATGCTTAAAATAGTACGTGGAGTTAGAATAGTGACCCAGATCATGTTCTCAAAAGTTGTCGCCGGCTAGAGATCTGAATCCTAATCAGACATTTTGTCCATGTCAATCTGTACACGACACCGTCGCTATTTGTCCTTCTCAATGTGTTCTTAATTATTTCAATCTATATATATTATATTTTAACAGACACAACCATATGGACAATATCCCTACAAAGTCCCTATCAAATTCATATGGCTATATCCACAACAATGCATCCCTCCCATGCAAATTAACCATCGTTACACATATTTACGTTTGGATGTATCCACACATACTCAGTTCTAAGGGACATCCATCTTCTATACCTGTTTTTGCAAACACTCATATGGCTGTATCCATAGCTACAACCCGTAATATGGCTATATCCATATTTACATCCATATTTCACTCAGTTAAAATTATGTTTTCTATGTTGTTTATATTGTACACATCCACCTAGTCATGTCTATACACAAATCTTATACTACAAGCAATATATAGATCATCCCAGATGTAAGTGTTTCAGGGATACGTCCACATACCCCAATATAATGTCTCTATTTTGGACACATCCACATATAATTATGTTTTTATATTGTTTGTATTGTACACAGCCATAAGTCATGTCCATATACAAAAATCTCATACTGCAAACGTTTTTGCTTGCATGGACACATTATTATCATAGACATCTAGAGATGGACATGTTCGTATAGACACATGGACTTCAAACATTATTTTGGCCAAATAATAGACACGACATGGACTTGTTTTTATGGATACATTATCATTGACTCAGACATGTTCAAGTTCGTCAAACGATGAAGAGGAGGAGAAACCTACGGTGAGGTTCGTCAAATCGCCCGGCCTTACAGAAAGCGTGGATCACAATACTCAAGTTAAGCGAATGGGTTTCTTAACATTTTTACCCAAAAAAAAAAAAAGTTAAGCGAATGGGGACGTCGAGAATCCTGAGAGCTTCATCGGAAACCTCATCCGCTTCTCCGCTGTACTAGCTGCCGATGAGTATACGTGGCAGCTTCGGTGTCTTCGTCTGGCTTTGGTCCTTCTCGCCGCCGTCTGGCGGATCTACGGCTCGAGAGGAAAGGGGAGATGATGAGAATAACAAAACATGATAGCTATGATTTGGATTTTATTTTTCTGTGTGGGAGGTATTCTCAATGTCGGTAAGAGAGAAGGAGATGTCTGTGTGTGTGTGAAGCAGAAAAGGAAATATTAATGTGAGACGCAAGAGAGAAGAAAAGAAGAAGAGAAAGATATAACCAGTTCATAACCGGTTAACCCGGTTAATGTGTATAATGAATTGTAAAGTTGAGGGTTATGTTGTCTTTTGGCAAGGAAAGTGTAAAAAAAAGTGCTACTTCAGTGCCAAATTTTGTAAATCTAAACTCAAAAAGTGCTAAAATTTGTAAAAACTATAAATTTTGTAAATACAAACTCAAAAAATTTATAGCTTTTATAACCTATGATCAAGCGTATAACCAAAAGTTTTTCATTTTAATATAAATATTACTTATAATACTGTAAAACAATATGATGGATAACTACGTGGATGATGAATATAATTATAATTATTAGTACAACAACGTTCAACAAACCCAGTTAATATAAACACTCCAGTTTTGGTCAGAAAAACTTGGTATAACTACGCTCTAGTCATAATGTTTAGTACGGCCATTTATTGTTCTGTCGACCACAAATAATTGTGAACTGGGGAGGAGAAGCAAAAGCGAAAAAGTTGTGAAAAAGAAAAGTGAAAGTAGTACTTTTAGGTCAGAGAATGTCGTGTAAAAGT